GCACTTGACTATATCCTGGGTTTAGAATTAGTCCCTTTAACCTAGTACTGTGTCTGTTTTACCAATCCAGACTCTATTTCCCACCCAGTGAATTTCCTTTCAGTGGTCTCTTGTGGTTTCCTATTTTGATTGCTACTACCCTGGTCTGTTAGAGAAACATACTTTAAATCTTTGAACACCAACATGTAGAGGGTAAGAGAGTTAGAGTTTCAACTTCATTCCTCCCATGAGGCTCCTCGGTGCCTGTGTGAATTTGTGGATATAAAGTGGTGTGTGGGAATCTGTAACCCAAGTTCTGCATCAGGATGTGATGGGGAGTGGATGGTTCTTAACAATAGCTGGCAGTGTCTGAGCTGTAGGCAACGGCCCAGCTAAAATATTCTGTTACATAAGTAAGTAGTAATGACATGCTCGAGGAAGTGATGTTAGGTGGAGAATAAAGGAATGATATGGGGTGGGGGACACAGAGAGCAAGTTGTGTACTGGTAGAGACCTCCTAGAGGAGGCATGCACTGGGAAGAATTTCCAGTAGGGACAATAGGGTCATTGTGGCCCTCCCTTATATAATACAAGAGCTTCACATGCCTTCATTCTTGAGGTAGCCATTATCATCTTTTCTTTTTTTTTTCTTTTTTTTGTAGATGAAATAGTACAACACAGAGAGATTAAATAAGTTAGCCAAGGTCAAAAGAAAGAACCCAGGTCTGGGGGGGTGGAAAGTGCTCCAAAGACCCTTTTCATTGATTCATTGTTGGCCTTGAATAGTAGATAGCTAAGGATTGACTCAAGGGACCAGCTGGAGTGTACCTGAGCAGATTTTGTTAGAGAGCAAGAGGACTTTGCAGCAAACATTTATAATTTCTTACAAAAGATATAGTTCTAGTCACTATCACAGTGAAACAAATTACTCAAAATGACCTAACACATCCCCTACCGATGCTTATGATTCTATGGGTCAGGAATTTGGACACGGTGGAGTGAAGTTGCTTAATCTCTGCTCTGTGTTGTGTGAGGCCTCAGTTGGAAGACTCGAAGGCTGAGGGCTGGAATGAGCTGAAGATTCGTTCCCTTAGGTATGGAGTTGAGGTTGGCTTTCCCCATGTGGCATCCTTTGGCTTCTCAGAGCTTGATGGCTGGGTTCTAAGGGCTAGACCCAGACAGAATCATATTGGCCCATTAGTCACGCACCGTGCACTTCGTGCATTGTTTTCAACAAGGTGGTCATAAGGTCCTGTCTAGTATCAAGGGGAAGTGAGGTAGATAGATTCTGCCTCTTGATGGGAAGTGGCAAGATTCCAGAGAGCATGTGGGACGAGAAATGTTGCTGCAGCCGTTTTTGGAAAATACAGTCTGCCACGCATCAGTCATTATCGGTGTTGTTGACCAACTGCTGGATGAAGAAGGAAAGGTGGATAGGTAACGGGGAAGGAAATGTTTTAGTGAAATGCCAGCATCTCTATTAAATGTCAAAATAGTGAAAGGGATTTAGGAAAATGATGGCAAGGCAAATTAGCTCAAATGCAAATGGGGAGCATTTGAAAAGGCTTCCTCCAGCTGAAGACCCCTTTAAAAAACTGGTGACGTCACCCTTGACTGAGTCCACTGGCCTGTGCTCCTCCTTGCAGCCTCGGGAAGCCTCCACTGGCCAGCGCTCTGTGTCCCATGCAACCTTCCATAGCAGTCCCAGGCAGGGCCATGACAGCTTGCCTTGGGCCTGCCCTCCTTTCTTCGTGGCTTAACCTCAAGCCCCCTGTCACTAGAGATTTAGAATTTCATTAAATCAGGGCTTGAACTGAGAAATAACGACTGTCTTTATATGCACTGGCTCTTTACTGGCAAGCTATTAGGGAGAAGATAAGGTTCTATAACACTGCAGGAATAAAGCCCAGAAAATTATGCGGAAAGCTCCACCATCCAGGATAAATGTTATAGGAGGCATTAACCTTCCATAAAAATCCCTTTGCTAGGCAAGAATTTAAATGACAGTCTCTGTGAGAGGAGATATTTAGCCTTAGAAACATATTATGCTGCCACCTTCTCTTAGAATAGCAAGTTCTTTGGTTATCAGCAGTTGAATATTGTTCATCTCTTTCATAGGCTTGCTCAGAAATATAGCAAATATGTGTACGTGATTTTGTGGGTATACCCCCATATTGCACTTCATACTTCCCACGAAGTTGTATATACAGTTTCTGATTTTACTTAGGAAAATTGAATCAGAAATTAATATCCAAGCAAAGCTGAAACAAATCCTTATGGTAGCTTCCAAATTACTTTGCCTTGAGGGAAAAATAATTTTTCTCCCTAAGGCAATGAATGTGTTTGGTCAGAAATGACAGAGATTATATAAATTTGGCTGGCTCTTCCAGTAAACAAGCCAGCACACTCACAGGGCAAAGATTTTTATATAGAAGTTTATCCATGTTCCACATATGTGTTTATGTATGTTTGGGGAAATCTCAGGTGCTATTATAAAAATGATTATTTTGCTTTAAATTGCATTCTCTGTGTCCCAACATGAAAAGCATTTGTAACAGAGTGAGAAACAGGACTCTTCTCTATTATCTTAGTGTCTCAGCTTGAAGCCCCAGAGCTGCTTCCTGTCCTTCCTGGGTTTGGTAGAGAAGAGATGTTGAGTGAATGTGAGCTGTTAACACTTACCCTCTTGAGTTCCACAATTCCTCCCAAGTGGTTCCTCCCCAGTAGTCCACAAATGGGACATTATTATTCTTTCTATTGAGAAATCAGCTTTGAAAATACTGTTTGTAGGATCCACAAATAAAATTTATCATAACAGGGGGGTTGACAAATCCACAGTTGCCCTTAAGTTCTTTTAACCAAGTTGACATACTTGTGAGTCAATAACTTTAAGAATTTTAAGACTTTCTCTAGACTAAAGCACAATAAAACGAATCGAGATTACCCCGGAGAGCTGCAGACAACTACAAAAAATGAAAGGAAAATAGATCCCCCTAAAAGCCTTTATGGTTTGTCCTAATGATAAAATGATGTACCTGACTAATTTGTAGAATATACTTGTTTAGAATATACTTGTTTAGAAAAGCTTTGTGCTTTAACATGGACTAAATTAAAAAAATCTTCAGAGCACCTAATCTGATCCCAAAGGAGATTTGTTATTTTATTTTAATGTGCAAGGATTTTTATTAAGGAAGGTGCTTATGAGAAGAAAATTAGGGAGAGAGCTGGAAAAGCCTGGGAAAGATGTCAGGCAGAGAGACAAGTGTAAACCCAAGTGAAGTGGGGGATTGGGGAGAATGTTGGGTGGAACCGTCCTAGGCTGTCATGCAATCTAAGGAAGATTCAACAAAGATGGCAGGGGTTCCTTGAGGTTAAGTTGGCCAAAAGAGGAGTTTTCATGTCTTCCAGAACTGAGTCTGCTGTGACATCCCCACTACACTCAGTTCTTGACTAGGGAGCAGCCCATGGGTGGTGCATTCCTGGCCAAAATGAAGTGATGGATTTCAGAGCATGGCATCTGGGGCCCTGGGTCAAAATTGCACTCCTTATAAAGTGGGAGGTCTGCAAAGCACAATGTTATGGCTGCCATGTAGATTCAATGTAAGTTCAATCAGAATCTTATCTGTTTTTTTTTTTTTTTTTTAAGAAATTGACCAGTCGAAGTTCATGTAGAGTGACCAAAAAACCCCCAAAAAACTAAAAAACAACAAAAAAAGAAATAGACAAGCTGATTCTAAAATGTATATGGAAATGTAAAGGACCTAGAATGCCCAAAACAATTTGGAAAAAGAACAAAGTTAGAGGACTTGCACAACCTAATTTTAAGACTTACTGTAAAGCAATCACATCTACAGACATGTGTTGCTTAATGATGGGGATACATTCTGAGAACTGCACCGTTAGGTGATTTTGTCACTGTACAAACATTGCAGAGTGTACCTACACAAACCTAGATGATATAGCGTCGTATATACGTAGGCTATACGATACAGCCTACTGCTCCTAGGCTACAAACCTGTGCAGCATGTTACTGTACTGAATACTATAGGCAATTGGATCGCAACGGTAAGTACTTGTGTGTCTAAATATATCTGAACATAGAAAAAGTATGGTAAAAACACAGTATTATAATCTTATGGGACCACCATCAAATATGTAATCTGTTGTCAACTGAAATGCCATTAGGCAGTGCATAACTGTATAGACAAGTTAATGAAATCAATCTAACAGTATAGAGTCTAGAAATAGACCCATGCATATATGGTCTATTGGTTTTCAAAAAGATGCAAAGATTACACAATGGGTAAAGCATATTCCCTTTAACAAATGATGCTGGAACAATTGGATATTGATATGCAAAAATGAAACCTTGATTCTTACATCACACGACATACAAACAGTTACTCAAATTGGATCATAGATCTAAATGAAAAATCAAAAACTATAAAATTTCTGGAAGAGAATATGAGATCATCTTTTGTAACCTTGGGTTAGGGAAAGATTTCTTAGAATATAAAAATCATGAAGGAAGAGAGGAGACCAGACTGGACGAGGAAGAGGAGACAAAATCAGACCAGACCAGAGGAAGAAGAGGAGACCAGACTAGAAGAGGAGACGAGATCGGATCAAGATTTGTGATTTTAGGAATAACATTTAGCGAGGGCCAGCGCATGCTGGGCACTGAACTCATTATATCTACTACATCAAGGGACAATGTAGGTGTTATTACCCATTTTTACAAATAAAAAAAACCCAAGATGTAGAGAGCTTGCCTAGACTTCAGTGTGCCTGGAAGGAACCAGAAGTTGCCACTTATCACCTTGTAATCATTTTAGACCTTCAGAATTTCTTCAAATTTCAACATGGTCAGCCAGCCAGCAGACCTGGGTAAAATATCTGCTTCTTCCTTCCAGTTAAATCAAATCCATTGACAAATCCTCCTAGTTCTACTCCTATATCGACCCCAAATCCATGTTATTTTATTTTTTTTCCTTCTGTTATCATTAGTGTCATCACTGGAATCCAAGGCACCATTACCTGTGGCCCCTGCTGTGGTTTCTACCGGTGCTCTCTGCTGCCTTGTTTGCTCACCCATCATCATCCTCAAGGAGCTGCCAGGAAGATCTTCTAAGAAATAAGGTAAAATGTGTCTCTCATCTGCTTGGAGCTCTCTGCTGATTTTCTGTTGTGTCCAGAATGAAATGTGCATGTCTCGCCGTGGCCCAGCAGGCCTTGTAGGATCTGGCCCCAGCCCCCTTCTTGTCCCACCTCCTGTAGTGTCCGCTTCGCTCCCCAGCCTCCTGCTCGCTGACTTCTGACTTTTTTCTAGAAATGAGCAGGCTCTTCCCTGCTTCTTGCTTTTTGGCTCACCTTAGCATGCTCTTTCCCCGTTTCTTTATGTGCCTGGGTTCTTGCCCTTCTGCTCTTGGTCTGAAGGCCAGCTCCTCTGACCACCCATTTAAAGGACCTTACAACACAGAGTTATTTACTGTCACAGCACCTCACTTGCTTCCTTCGCAGCACTGGTCCCAAGCTGTAATTACTGGTCTGCTCGCTTACTTGTCTGCTATCCATCCCCGCGGCTCTCCCTGCTGAGACCATAAACCACAGGAGAGCAGGGACCTCCCATTCTTTGCTGTCACCTCAATGTTCGACACATGGTGAGCGTTCAATAAACTTTTGGTGAATAAATTAGTTCATATTTGTGTGGTCTTTCTGCTCTTAAAACCCCTCACCATCCCAAATCACAAAGTCTATTTAATAGTCCTTCATCTTTTCAGTGTCATATCGGGCATAAATATGGGTGTTGGCTTTAGAACTCTGGTCTGTATTGCCACCTCCACCATTAGTTTGCTGTGTGACCATCAGCAAATCACTATTCCTCTCTGGTCTTCATATTCCTCTTCTACCAAACGATGGGCAGAAGGAGAAGCTCCCTAAATTCCCTCCCAACCCTGCCTTTGGATTGTTTCCAGTTTCCCTGCTGCTGTTCCCCTGGAGCAACCTTAATAAGAATAGCTTGGTTTTAGCTGAGTCTTTCTGTTGAAAGGAAGCCTGCAATTTATTTAGGTGGGCCCAGTGTCTCTTTTCTATTTGGAGACTCGTGGGTGGCGTTAAAGGAGTGTGCCAGGTGACAATGTCTGGGTAGAAGGCGTCCCCATGACAGCGCTGCACGGGGAGGCAGGTGGGTTTATTGCTGGCAGCTGCTGTGATGATGGGGGGGACCTCGGCCAGGTTGGGCAAGCACTGAGGAGAGGCCAGGACTTCATAATACACAGTGTCCTTGGCTTCTCATCCTATCAGCTTGGGAGCGGGGCTTCCTCACCAGGGATCCTGGTCTGAAAAAAGGCAACTAGAGGCCAGAGAAGGCAAGTTTCTGAGTGTCGGCTGGATGGGGACTGTGGCAGGGCCAGTTGGCCACCTGTCCGGTGTTTCCTGCCTGGGGAAGCTGCGTTCTTCTGTAAGATTGTCTGGGGCTGGCGGAGGACAGCGAGGCGAGTGCTTTTTGCCGAGCAGTATGCTGTACACGCGCTGCGTCCCTGAACGCCATGAGGAAGTTGTGATTTTCACACTAGCCCCATTTTCCAGATGGAGAAACTGAGGTGTGTAGAGGTTAAGTACCTTGCTTGAGGTCCTGTTGTCAGGAAGGAGCCAAGTTATGGAGGGCTTCCTTTGTCATTCTCCACTCCTCTCTTTTCTCATTGGTCATTTTCTGGCGTCACAAGGGACCCTGAACTCTGCAGAAAGAGCCATTTTCAGGGTCTGTTTGACAGACCATTTAGTGGGTGGAGTGTGCTGGGAGTAGACTTGGCAAAGAAATTCCCAACAGCTGACTTGCAACATAAAAAATAAAATTAGGCAAAGTGTATCAAATATCAAGATAGAGACAAAGAAATGAGCATGGAGACCAATCCTCTGCTATCCTATTGAGGGCGGGGGGAACCTCCCAAAAATGTTGCTGTGAACTTAAAAAAAATAAAAATATTTTTCTTTATAGCCCCATCAACATCACAGCTTTGGATGTTTTAATAAAGCTAAAATTTTTCTCAAGCTAGCAAATCAGCCTTCTAGAAGGTATCTGAGAGCCAGGAGGAGGAGATACTCAACCATGTTTATGGAGTGCCACACTGGGCCAGGTCCAGCTGGTGGCCGCAGATACAAAGGTGAAGAAGACACAGCCTCGGAGGTCAGCCTGAGGGCAGAGGTGGGGATAGATAAGTAAGTGGACAATTTAATACGCTGTGGTTCAGGCTATGACAGAGCTGAGAACAGGAGCCTGTGGGAACAGGGGAGAGAAGGTTCTGAGGAGCAGGTGAATTTTGAGACAGGGTTTGAGGGATAGATATGCCAGCAAAAATGGGGATGGGGGCAGGGACAGGTTGTGGACAAAGCTATGGAATTGCAGGACTGCGGAGTGCCTGGGGCAGTAGGTTGGATTATAACCTACCTGTGAAGGGTGTCAACTGTCAGTCTGGGGAACATACTAGAGGGAGGTTGCTCTGATAGTCTAGGTGAGACTGAAGCAGTCTTGAACTTGGGCAGTGGTAGTGTAGGAAAGAAGAGGGTGACCCCAATCACATAAAGAATTCTATTTGTAGAATTCTTATATTAAGATGGTAAAATGGGCAGACGTGGAGGCTCACGCCTGTAATCCTAGTACTCTCAGAGGCTGAGGTGGGGGCATCGCTTGAGGTCAGGAGTTCGAGACCAGCCTGAGCAAGAGAGAGACCCTTTCTCTACAAAAAATAGAAGAATTAGCTGGGCGTGGTGGTGCACACCTGTAGTCCCAGCTACTCGGGAGGCTGAGGCAAGAGAATCACTTGAGTCCAGGAGTTTGAGGTTGCTGTGAGTTATGATGACACCATTACACTATAGCCTGGGCAACAGAGCAAGACCCTGTCTCAAAAATAAATAAATAAATAAAAAGATGGTAAATGGCACAAAGTAGATGTTCACTGTGTGAATGAAAGCTCGGTATTACAGATAGATTGCATTATGTATATATTTATATAGAGATACACCCTCACATATAACAGCTATATAATTTTTATGATAAATATACCTGGGAATTTTAAGTTAAAATATTTACTTTCATAACAAAAAGTGAATGCAAATTATGGCAATTTTGACACATCTGATGCTTCATACATTAAGATGACAAATTGTTCTTTCCAAATAATTCATATTTAGTAACAAAGTTTTCTGCTTGATTGCTTATTATTTCATTGTACTATTACAGATATTGTATTTGATCTTCAAGTGGAATTTGCTGTTCCATGTCATTAAATAAATTCTCAGGGATATAATTTATTTCAATCCTCAGAGAATAGAAGGAATTTAGTAGCTTTGAAGCACATGTGCCTGTCTTCCAAGGAGTGAGAAAAACACAAAATACCTTGTTGGTGACTTTTTTTTTCCCACTAATAAAGACAGATTTCCTTTTTTGGGAAAGCTATTGTTGACGATGGGATATGCGCTGGTGGTATGGTGAGGGTGGGCTGCCCCTTAAGGCTCATGACTGCTTGTCCTTCAGGGCTGGAGCGCCCACAGCTGCCAGCCCACCCGATGTGAACTAGACTTCCCTCCTTAGTCCCTCTCCTGGGTATCCTGGTTTCATCTTTCACAGTATCACGACTGCGCATTACATATTTGTGGTAGATTAAGTATGGCTGCAAATTCTTTCTTCTTGCAACAGGAAGAGGTGGGTCTATGTGACCTTCCCTTGAGTCTGGGCAGGCTCTGTGACTACTAGATCAATAGAACATGGCAGAAATTATGATCTGAGAGTGTCCAGGCTCGGACCTTAATAAACTGGAAGCTTCTGCTTCCTGTCTCTTGGAAGACTTTCTGGAGTCGAGAGCCAGTACACACAAAGCCTACGGCCCTGACACTGCCACGCTGGAGAGTTCCCGTCTGGGTATTCTTCTCAATTGTCCTGGCTGAGTCCCACCTTCCAGCTGTCCCTGACAAGGCATCCAATGTGCTGGTGAATGCTTTGGGCTCTCTGGACTCCACCACATATGGTGGTTAAATATTATTGTGTGACCTCTGTCTACATGTGGAACAGAACTGCCTCGCCGAGCTCTGCCTGAATTCCCAGCCCCCAAAATTGTGAGATATAATAAAATGGTTGATATTTTAAACCACTACATTTTGAAATAGTTTGTTATGCAGCAATAGACAACTGGAAGAATATTCACTGATATTGATTTACTTATTACTATCTAGTTTCTCCTTTAGACTGTAAGCACCATGAGGACAACAGGGACCATTCCTGTCACATTTGCCACTGTGAGCTCAAACACTTAGCCCAGTCTTGGCACACAGTTGGAGCTTAATATGTACTTATTTAAAGAATAAATGAAATTTCTCATGATAGAAGTTGGACAGAGTAGTGGAAAAACCTAGGTGTGGATCCTGTATTGAGACTCCTTGGTTTTCCTCCAATGCCTGTCTATGTCTGGTATTAAAATTCTGCTTTGTTTGCATGGTATGCATTCAGAGGCTAAGGGTGCTATTTGTTTCAAATCAGGGGTAGATATATACTTTTTCTAGAGCATATCACATGCTCACTTTTCTCAGGGAGGTGATGGCAAAAGCGTGAGTGTCATCAGAGTCTGGAATTAATTAAAAAGCAGTATCTATCTACCTATCAATCATCTATTTCTATCTCTGTCTATTTATCTCTGTCTATGTATCTGTCATAGTTTTGGCTCTGATGCAAAACTTGAGAAATAATTGTTGGGTTTATTGACATTTGATACCTCACTGGATATGGAGAAACAAGTATATTTACAGTGGGCAGAATGGCTTCCTTGTCTGACTGGCTTTGATAGCCACGCTTCTGATTTCTCAGTGTCCACAAATTGTAACCATTAGTTAAGCACTCATTAAAAAGTGGAATGCTGGCACAGAGTGCTTCGTCTTTTCAATACGCAGTTCTGTATCTGTGCCAGCAGTTGTAATTATTATTATTATAATTATTATTTTGTTTGGTTACAAGTTCACCTTCCACACCACAGCATATGGTAAACATTTGGTGACTCTTGAAGCATCTTTATTAACTTCTCTGAGAATCTTTTCCATTCCCTAGAGGATAGGTCTTTTGGAAAAGGCCAAGCAGATGTGACTGCTGAGGT